TCTCCCTCTCCCCCTGCTTGTGTTCCCTCTCTCGCTGTGTGTCTCTCTGTCAAATAAATAAATAAAATCTTTAAAAAAAATAAAACATGCTGTTTAGCACAGTGATTCTAACAGAATAAGAAGGTAAGTGCAGAGCCAGATTGTCTAGGTCAAATCCCATCTCCGTTAACGAACTGTGTGGCTTTGGCAAGTTCCTGAACTTTGAGCCTCAGTTTGCTCATCCATACAATGGACATACTGATAGTAAGTATAAATGGGAACCCGATTTAAGGACTAGAAACACAGTTCCTGGCACAGAGGAAGTGCTTGAGAAATGTTAACCAGGTTCTGTTAGTCACAGATACGGAGCCAAACTTGAGTCTTGAGGGCGCTGAAACTCTATATCCACTCCCTATTTCTAGCAATTTTTTTTTTTTCCAGAAGAAAACCATTTCTTAATTTCCCAGGTTACTGACAGTGAGTTCTCCAGACTCCCCGCATCTGTCACCCTGCTGTGTTAGGCTGCTTTCCTGTCATCATCCTGGATGAAGTGAACACCCGTGGCAGGTCAGGCCCCAGACTGGGACCCAGACCTGGGTACAGAAAGAAAGCCAGTCAGGTATGCCTGGGTCCACAGCCATGAGCTGGGTGATGCTGGGAGTTACTTAACCCCTCTAAGCTACCACTTCTCCTCCTACAGAACAGGAACACTAGTACCTGCCTTCCCTTGTATTTCAGTCTTGAACAATGACTGAACCAAGGAGCCGTGAGCACCGAGGGGCAGAGCCTGGCCCCTGGCTGACATTCCCTTCCCTCTTCCTTAGCACCATTCCAGGGGTCTTCTCTGTGCCAGGCACTGCATCTAATCCTGGGGGGTTCACAAAAGAGTGAGATCAGCACGGTCTCTGCCCCCCTGGGGCTCACCGTGTGCAGTCCCACGTCTTCTCTATTCCAGACCCTCCAGGCTTGGCATCATCCCTGCCTGGGCCTCCGACTGAACAGACCTAATTCGTACCCTTTTTACAGGAGCCCTACAGCGAACTTGGCTAAAGCATCAGGTGGTGGTTCTTTAGAAAGGATGATATTCACTAGCACAAGGCACTTCTGCCAACTGGTTTTTCTAAGCAATGAACACACATCTGCTTAATAAATCAACTCAGTCGATTCACTGGAAGAAACATCACACTCCCATGGCCAACGGCAACAGACAAGGGAGGAGAAAGGAAGGCAAAGTGGAAGAAGGAAAACGATTTTATAAAATGTATTGATAACTTTACTGTGAATTTATGAAACCCAGCTCTTTGACTAACACAAAACCTCACTGATGTGAGGCAACAAAAGCAGCAACCCAGCTTTCAAAACCACCACCACCTCCATGCTTGTGGTAGCCGGCCTTCCAATGGCCCCCAGGGAGGCTGTCTTCCGTTATCCATACCTGCACTTTCCCAACTCATACCAGGGTTGGTCTTTGACCAAAAATACTGAAGTGTTGGTTTGTTGCTTCTGAAATTAGTCTATAAAAGACATTGCAACTTTTGTCTGGAGCACTTTTTCCTTTATTAGGATCACTCACTCTGGGCTAAGTCATGAGCATCCCTCTGGAGAGGCCCACATGGTGAGGAGCCGTCACATGAGCGAACTTAAAAGCAAGTCCCCCAGCCCCAAATAAGCCCTCTGTTCACTGTAATCCTGACCAGCATTCTATGGGCAATCTCCTCCTGACAGGCCCTGAGCCAGAACTCCCAGATTCTTGACCCTCAGAAGCTGTGAAGTAATAAACTGTTATCTTAAGTCACTAAGTTTTGGGGTAATTTATTAAGCAGCAATACGCCACCCAACTAATCTTCAAAAATCTCTGATTATTAAGATAGTATAGAAAACATTGTTGTCTTTGTCAATAAACTGTTCAGGAAAAGCCATGCTGGATTACTGTGTACGGCTCTCACTATTTACACAATAGAGTGTTCACACCTGGGCCCCCTGGAAGTTCACGGATGGGTGGTAGGGGGCCCACGAACCACCTTCATGTATAGGCAAGTGTGTGTTTTTTGGGGGGGGGGTGGAGGAAGAGGATCCACAGCTTTCTTTACTGAGCCCCAGATGGTCAGAACCACTGTGATGAAAGTTTGGTGTTAGGCAGCAGCCTAAGGAGGTCAGATCTTTTCAACTTGGACAGATGAAGGCTGACGGAGGGGGATCCATGTAACAAAGTCACCAGAGCACAGATTAAGGCACCCATGGACCACTGTGCCAAATCCCCAGACCCTAAAACAAGGGGCCTGCCTCCCTGTACCTTGAGCCACCAGTCAGTGGATGCTGATGCTCCTTGGGAAGATGAGGCATCATGACTCAGCCAGCCTCTTGGGCAACCTGGAAATGACTCATAAAGGGAGGGAGGGGAGCCCCTTCCCACCATTGTCAGGAAAATTACAGGGAGCCAGCTAGCACGCAGCCCCTGATGAACTCTGGTGCTCAGCAGAGAATGTGCTGACCCATCTCATCTGAATCCCAAGCATCTCCAAGTTCAGTTTGGGTCCCCTTCAGTGAAACATTTATTGAGCGCCTGTGTCAGATGCTGGGATTACAAGGCGAATAAGAAATCATCCCTGCCGGGGGGCGCCTGAATGGCTCAGTTGGTTAAGCGACTGCCTTCGGCTCAGGTCATGATCCTGGAGTCCCAGGATGGAGTCCCACATCGGGCTCCCTGCTCGGCAGGGAGTCTGCTTCTCCCTCTGACCCTCTCA